TCATATTTCAGACATAGTAAGAAAAGGAAATTGAGTTACTGAGTTCTAGCTTCCAGCACCTGCATTAGATTACTTTCGTAAATTCGCTACTATCAGTCTAATTTCCCTGAAATTTAAAACCCTTATATTTCGTATGCAGTAAATCAAATCAAAGCAATTACCGAGTTCTAACTCCCGCCCCCGCCTTAGTTCCCTCTTGTATCTTCGTTAGTATCTTCGTTAGTACCCTAGTACTTAGGGCGCCTGACAGCTGAGTCGACAGCATTTCGGATTCGAAGTCCTGAGGTTACGGGTTCGATCTCCGGTGGAAGCTACTGGTAGGTAACTGGTAACTAGGTACCTGGGAGTTAGACAGCTGCTGTGGGCTGCTTCCGGGGGGGGGGGGTAACAAAAAGGAGGTCTAGTCGAGGACCGGGCCACGGGAACGCTAATCCCCGAAATCATCTCAAGATAACCTCAAGATACTCTTCGAGTCATCTTTACTCGTCAAACGATACTCTCACGTCATCTTGATTCTCCAATGACACGCTCAGTGACATCAAAATACTGTTCTTGTCATCAAAAGTTAATCTCAGAGCTATTAAGAATACACACAAAGACATCAAAAATATTATTCATGCCGTCGAAATTCATTCTCAGAGATATCAAAGGTAATTTCAAAGACTTCAAGAATACTCTTAAAGTATTAAAAGACTCTCTGTGTTGTATTTACGTAAGAATGGTACTCTCTAATCATCTTCGTTTATTAAAGAATCTCTCGAAGACATCTTTATGCTTCAAATAATTCTCACATGTCATCTTCGTTCATTTAAAGATTCTCTCCAAGACAGCAATAATACATAACGATAAAATTTAATTATCAATTTGCACTCTTTAAGGCAACTTTATATAAAAAATTACTCTCTAGGACTTCTTTATGCATTAAATTATTCTCTCACTGTAACAAACATGGTTCTTCATTCAATAAATAAGTAGTCACTAGCATCGTTTTCAAGAAATATGTAAACTAAAGTTCATGTTAAACTTACTAAGACACGGCATTATGTAGTTGCAAACAAATTTAAGTATTATATCAGACTAAACATGTGCATCTTTATGTCCTACTAAACTTTTGTGCCATGTAAAAATGAATAAAATATTATCTTTTATGTAGTAGTAACAGTTTCATTAAGACATTTACAGTCAAAACTTACAATTCCGTTTATTAATTATTCTGCTAAAAATATATTTCCTTAACCACTATCTTGCATTATCCTAATGTAACTTACCTTGCCCAACTTACCTATCCTCATTACCTGATTGAACATAACATATCATATCATAATTTACATAACGTAACCTCCCTTACATAACTTACCTGATGAAACTTAACCATTCTGACCTGACATAACTTATCTACCCTATCCTAACCTAACTTAACCTATCCTGACATTGCATAACTTACTCAACTTGCAGAATTACCCGACTTACAAAACTTATTAACTTCTTTACCTAACCTACCCTACCAGAGGTAACTTTACCTAAACCCTCCCAACCTGATGTAACTTACATATCCTAGCCAACTTGATGTAACTTACCCATCCAGACATAACTTACATAACTTAGCTTATGTAACGTAACATAACAATCTAACCTACCTGACATAACTTACTTATCCAGACGTATCTTATATAACTGACCAAACATAAATTACTTATAACTTATTTAAACAATAACTTATTTAAAGCATCATCTTATTCCCTCTGAAACATCAACTCTTCATTTATTTACCCAGACAACACTCTTTTACACTTACAGTTACAAACCTGAACCTAAATATCAGATTCTCAAACATAAATAGGCTTGCATAAATACCCATGACACATACACCTTTTACTTAATTAAATTGCATAAATACTTACATAAAATATATATGTTACCTTCTCATTTATACATACAATTACATTTAAAAACTAACAAACTTATATAAATACAAAACAAAAACACAGACTTGTGCTCAAATGATAATTTAGCTGGACATACAAACTCCTCCTTACATAGAAAACGTGTAGAAACTTACACATACACTCTTAGACAAACCACCACAGCTCTCGCAAACACTAAGTCACATTGAGAAACTCTTACACATATACTAATTTCAGAATGTTGCATAACATGCATATTACACGAGTTCTTGTGATGCATCACAAGCATTCTAGTGTTGCAATACCAGTGTTCTAGTGCTACATTACAAGCGTTCTAGTGCTGCATTACAAGTGTTCTAGTGCTGCATTACAAGTGCTGCATTACAAGTGCTCAAGTGCTGCATCACAAGTGCTCAAGTGCTGCATCACAAGTGCTCAAGTGCTGCATCACAAGCATTTTAACATTCCTGAAAAGTGCCCTAGTGCTGCAACAAAAAGGTTCTAATTCTGCATGAAAAAGGTGCTAATGCTGCATCAAAAACGTTCTAATGCTGCATCAAAAACGTTCTAGTGCTGCATCAAAAACGTTCTAATGCTGCATCATAAATGTTGTACTGTTGCATCAAAAATGTTCTAATGCTCCATCAAAAACGTTCTAGTGCTGTATCAAAAATGTTCTAATGCTGCATCAAAAACGTTCTAATGCTGCATCAAAAACGTTTTAGTGCTGCATCATTAACGTTCTAATGCTGCATCAAAAACGTTTTAGTGCTGCATCATTAACGTTCTAATGCTGTATCAAAAACGTTCTAGTGCTTCATCAAAAACGTTCTAATTGTGGGAAAAATCTGCTGGGATTGATATTAGAGGACATTACCAGGGACTTGTACTGAACTAAATTAAAAAATTACTGTATGCAAATTAATTCAACTAAAATCTCTTGCTAGGGTTGTAAATCCTAGCTCCTCTTTTCCTAATGACAGATTGTGGGCTGTAAGGGACAGGTGGGGTGAATGAATTAGTTGATAGAAGTTCCAGTCCACCTGTAGACAGGGATTCTCACATCAGCTTGTATTTTATACAAGGATAAGATTTAATAAATTCAGTTATATGACCGAACACTGGCTCTGTTTAAATCAGAGATTCAAACATGTACATAGTCTAGCCTAGCACCATAACTATTAACAGTCAATATATTCTTATACTATAAACAACAAATTAAATTGTAAAAGTATAATAAATGACTTTAAATGTAGTCTAAGTACTGTTAACTAAGTACTAGAAATTATTCAATTAAATGAACTTATATGATAACTTAAAAATTAACTAAGCAAGCAATTGTTAACTTAATTTATGTATTCAAGTATATATGCAATGTATTTATATTCAATTTATATGATTAGATAAAGTCAGCTTGACTGAATCTCTTCCAACACCATGGACACCTATGAGGTTTTGTTTACTTATTGCAGCTGAATCTTTTTTTGACATAATGGACACTCATGAGGTCTAGTGCTTGGTTAAAGATTCTACTGCTGCTCTACTATATAAATAAACTTATGGAGATATGAGGCTTTGCCTCGCTTTATAACCGACAGACAGATTTATAGAATATTAAAGTCACACAAGCATACAATTGGCCAACTATATACCAAAATAACCTTCAATATACTTCTCTGAATGCCGGGTGCCTGTCTGACAAGGTGTGCACAACTGATAACTCTCTTGTTGCGAGTTTAGGCACGATATTTTATTTCACAGCTTTGCTGTAGATTGTTGTTGTAGCGTTGCTACGTGGATTTTTCTTTAACTGCGTTGCAGAAGATGAGGGTTGATGGTGAAGGTGGAGCCAAGTCACTGTGTGCTCCACTCTACACTTATAGATATAAATGTTCTAGGGATATTCCTTTGTAGATATATTGTCCAGGTTCTCCCCCAGTTCTAGAGAGTATTCCCTGGTGATAAAGATAACTAGATAAGGTGTCCTAAGCCAAACAATGTTCGCTAAGGATCCGTCACACTTGTTCACTGTTTTGTCAACAAACGCGTAGTGCCGCGAGGTGTAGTCGTGGGCGCTTCTTGTTCCCAAGATGCTCCTCCCTCTCCCTTGAGAGGTAGTTTTCAATGAATATTGATTGATTATTTTTACCGTCAAGACTTATGATTGAGATAAGATGTGATTATAATATAATTAGATATAGGATTTAAATATTATAAGTAGTACTTGATAGTACCACTGATTCTTATTAAGGATTCGATTTTTAATCTCTACTGGAAGCAATTAATGTTCCAATAGTTTTTTAATTAACAAATCCCTCTAGAAGCTTCTGGATCCTTGAGAGCTCATGCACAAAGTCACGTAGGCATCAATAGTGTTGCATCAAATACGTTCTAATGCTGCATCATAAACGTTCTAGTGTTGCATCAAAAATGTTCTAATGCTTAATCAAAAACGTTCAGGTGCTGCATCAAAAACGTTTTAGTGCTGTATCAAAAATGTTCTAATGCTGCATCAAAAACGTTCAGGTACTGCATCAAAAACGTTCTAATGCTGCATCAAAAACGTTCTAGTGCTGTATGAAAAATTTTCTAATGCTACATCAAAAACGTTCAGGTGCTGCATCAAAAACGTTCTAATGCTGCATCAAAAACGTTTTAGTGCTGCATCATTAACGTTCTAATACTGTATCAAAATCGTTCTACTGCTGCACCAAAACCGTTCTAATGCTGCATCAAAAACGTTCTAGTGCTGCATCAAAAACGTTTTAATGTTGTATCAAAAACGTACTAGCGCTACATCGTAAAGTTTCTAATGGATCATTACAAACATTCTAATGCTGCATAACGAGTTTTCTAGTGCTGCGACACGAGCATGTTCCAGTGCTACATAACGAGTGTTCTAGTGCTGCTTCACAAGCGTCTTCTAGTGCTGTGTAACGAGTGTTCTAGTCCTAAAACATGAGCATGTTCCAGTGCTGCATAATCAGTGTTCAAGTGCTGCATCACGACCCCTGTTGTTATTGCTTCATAACGATATTTCTAGTGCTGTGTCATGAACGTGTTTGTTGGTGGTAAATTGTTTGTGTTGTGCCCCAGGAGAACTAGAGACACTTGCAGCCGCTAGCGACGCCGTGAACGAGGCGCTCACTGTAGCGTCGTGTGGGCTCCGCTCCTCAGTGGTGCTCCTCACAGATGGCACCACCTCCTCACGGACAATACGTAAGGTGAGATTTTATACCGAGTAATAATTTACCAGTTTTGTATTACAGTAGCTCCATACGACTCGATTTTATATATTAATAATCAATTTCAACCCCAAACGAATGGGGAAAATATCTTCGGTTCACTTAAACACATGAAAATAATGTTTTGACGTATTTTAGGTGGGGCTGGATGAGAGCTGAGAATGTGGTTGGCAATGTTGTGGTGGAAGTTTGTTTTGGTAGATGGAGGAGAAGGTATGATGGTTATCTTGAGATCTCGAGAGGATTTCGGGGGTTAGCGTTCCCTCGGGCCCGGTCCTTTACCAGGCCTCCTTTTTGTTCCACATCCCCAGGAAGCAGCCCATTGCAGCTTTCTCACTCCTAGATTCCCATTTACTGTTAAGTGAACAGCAGCATCAGGGTGAAAGAAACTCTGCCCATTTCTTTTCCGCCTCCACCTGTAATCAAACCCGGAACCTTAGGACTACGAACCCTAAGTGCTGTCCACTCAGCCATCAGGCCGCCTATGATGGTAGAGTTCGGTCCAAGATGGACGGAAACGTCATTGTCTCCTCATCTTCTAGTGTGTGGTTTGGTTTCTTTCCTAAAGCACAGGCATTTGGGGGGGAAAGAGGTTGACCAATAAGGAATGTATGAACGAAGGAGTGACAGTTGATGGTCAGTGTTAAGGAATTTACGTGCGGCTCTGTTTTGTTGAAAAAAATATCCACAATATAATTTTATTGATAGTTTACCTGGAGTTTATCAAAGGTAAACTCCTGCCCCCTGGACACCTCATAACGGCAAGCTGCCTGCACCAACCAACGTCGCCACAAACAATGCCTTTCATTTGATCTAATATTAATTACTGCTTATAAAATATGCCTTAACTTAGTGCTAAGGAATTAACTAGGATTACTAAGCATATTGTTGATCAATTAATAACTAAATTAAATAAAGCAGCGTTCCTTTATACTGAAGGTGGAATAAGTAAGAAGAGACGCCATTAATCTTGCGCTCTGTTGCTGCTCACGCCTACAATGGCCTTTATCCCATATTTATGAACTGAACGCTTTGTTGTTGGATATATGTCTGATAAGTGTTGCTCAAGGGACATTTAAATCTACATAAATTCTGAAGTGCTGAACAACCATAATTGACATTAATATAGATATAATCAAGTGCTAAAAGAAGCAACTAGCCATCAGACGGATTGCCAAATGGTCTCAAATTCAGAAACTAAAATATTGTGCTCAACTCAGCAGGTGGAGGTGTCAGTCGAGTAGAAGAGAGTTGACTCAAGCTCCCGGTCTCTGCAATCACAAAAAATAGTTGTGTAACAATCTTATGAATTACTGAGGCCAAAAAGTGTCATATTAGAGAATGGAAGAGGCTCACGAAACTGACATAATGTCCCGTTTTCTGTTTTGGGTCCTCTGGCTTAGTCTGTTAGGTTAGGAAAGGACACTTTAAATTAACCGCTTTCTTGACGTTTTGAAACCTTAGCAAGACAGGCATAGTTGTGACTGTTTCATATGTTATTAATTCTACGGCATTTTAACGATATTGTCTGTTCCATTAACTGTTTCTTCCAGAGCAGTGGTTATTGTGTGCACTCTGGGGGAAGCATTCACCATAAAAACAAAGAATATGGCGAATGATTCAATAACTTTTATTTATTATATTAGAAATGTAATACAAAGAAAATTTATTAATTTAATCTCTTTAGGCAAGGCCACTGATATTTATATTTTTGAAAGTCTTTACGTGGAAGGCAACGAAGCAGTGTCCAGCTGAATATAATCTAAATATATAAACCTCTGGGCAGGAGAGTAAGATAAGTGCATTCTCTTACATCTACATTCTGCAGCCTCTTTCCCCAGCAGTGGACTACATGACGGAGGCTGTGCTACTATTCCCAGCCAGCTGGACCTGTTGTCCATTTACTAATCTCTAATTTAAGTAGTGCTAAACTTCGTAGCGTATTCATTGAAGTAAACTACATATATTCCAACTCATCCTCCTGTTTATATTGTACATTTTATAACTATGTGCACCATAGTACAAATATTGACGTACTAAGTAATTAGATTGTAGAATTTGGTACAATTCACGTTATAGTCCCAAAAAATTCCACTACAATACAAATATAGTTATTCCTAGACCTAGCATAGCACACATAAGTACTATACTAGGCATCAGATAGTGTGTATAAGGCCTAGGAAGGTTAGGTTAGTTTGTCATTACAATATAAATAGAAAATCTTTTCCGGTTTGTCCAACTTCAATAGTACCGACTTCAACTTTCTAACTGCGTTGTATGTCAGCATATGTTCTATAGTCCTCATCATAAGTACTGTTGTAAGTACTACCACAACAGGACGATGGCCTGATATATTCATATGATGAGATTCATTTGAATTGATTTATTAACTAATACCCAATCAGAAATTTACTGGATTATTTTTTAATTCAAGTTCTGAATAAACGATTCGAACGGGGAAGATTATGGAGAGGCAAACATCCCACATGTTTGGTGTAGTGTTGCATGCCGGGTTGGCAGATAGTAACCAGGGAGTGGGAGTGTGATGGCAACCTTAATGATTATATAACAATTTAAGCTGACTTATTTCTTTCAACTTGAAAAATTATATTTATCATAACCAAAAACAACAAATGTAATATATAGTTCCTATTTGGTTCCTCTGCTCAATATCGAGAGATAAATCAGTACAATATTATTATTAGGATTTGGTCTTAAGGCCTATCAACGAGGGAGGGTTATTCAGGCCACTAATCAAGGCCACCAACCCACCGGCATGTATTCGTTAACCCTAAACATAGACCAGGATTAAATTAAACTCTGTGTATATACAGAGATGAAGGGTACGTCTCTTGGTGTTAGGCTCAATGCAATACGATTACACATTTGCCTGATATATAGATACAAATAATGAATATTTAAAAATGAAATAGTTGTCATTGTATAAGGGCTTCTCATCAAATATACCTTTTGCTTAAAATAATTAATGATTTGTTTCTATACGTCATCATTGCTCAATTTTTATAGCACCTATAATTATGGGCCAAACTAAAGAACTTTAATTCCCCATATGAAGAACAGCTCTCGAGAAACCAAAAGCAAATTTTAATTAACAACACACAAAAGAATAAAAACATAATAATAAAAATGCATTCATACCAAGGATACCTATTAATAAACAAAACGCTGACACATAACACCTTATTTTTGGGGAGTTTTAGATGGGTCATGTGGAACCCTGCAGAGGACTGACAGTGTTGGAGGTGCCGGTGGCCGGCCAGGACGCCAACACCACCAAGACTCGGCTCTCTCTGATGATCGACAAGGCTCAGCAGGTAAGTCGCTCTCACATTACTGGTGATGTAGATAGGTCACTCGCACATTACTGCTGACGTAGATAAGTCACTCACACATTACTGCTGACGTAGACAGGTCACACACACATTACTGCTGACGTAGACAGGTCACACACACATTACTGCTGACGTAGATAGGTCACTCACACATTACTGCTGACGTAGATAGGTCACTCACACATTACTGCTGACGTAGATAGGTCACTCACACATTACTGCTGACGTAGATAGGTCACTCACACATTACTGCTGACGTAGATAGGTCACTCACACATTACTGCTGACGTAGATAGGTCACACACACATTACTGGTGATGTAGATAGGTCACTCACACATTACTGCTGACGTAGACAGTTCACACACACATTACTGCTGACGTAGACAGTTCACACACACATTACTGCTGACGTAGATAGGTCACTCACACATTACTGCTGACGTAGATAGGTCACTCACACATTACTGCTGACGTAGATAGGTCACACACACATTACTGCTGACGTAGATAGGTCACACACACATTACTGCTGACGTAGACAGTTCACACACACATTACTGCTGACGTAGATAGGTCACACACACATTACTGCTGACGTAGATAGGTCACACACACATTACTGCTGACGTAGACAGTTCACACACACATTACTGCTGACGTAGATAGGTCACTCACACATTACTGCTGACGTAGATAGGTCACTCACACATTACTGCTGACGTAGATAGGTCACACACACATTACTGCTGATGTAGATAGGTCACTCACACTTTACTGCTGACGTAGATAGGTCACACACACATTACTGCTGACGTAGATAGGTCACTCACACTTTACTGCTGACGTAGATAGGTCACACATTACTCACAAAATCCAGCGCACAGATTCCAATCATCGTCACGGCTTTTGTGGATTTTCTCATTTTCTCTAATGATACTTACACAAGCTATTGTCAACAGTAATATCTCTCTCTCTCTCTCTCTATATATATATATATATATATATATATATATATATATATATATATATATATATATATATATATATATATACTAACTTTATTTGAAAAATTCATTGCACAAAAAGGGTTACAACATTGGTTACATGCAGGGTACAAGGCTACTTGTCACAAGTTGTAGAGCTCCTCCAGCTCCTCAAATGGCGGGCAGGAACCACGGATGCAGTGAGCATTTCCTCTCTGGATCGCCACACTAAGGAGCTGAAAAAAAAAGCTGGCAGCTCTAGGGTCTCTAGTTGTTTCAAGTAAGTAAGTAAGTAATTATCAAAAGAAGGCACCAAACCGGGAAGGCTATGTAGCACCATCAAATACGCAAAATAATCAGAGGGCGCTAAATATCATCAGAACATGCCAATACGAGAACAAAAACGCATAAGGCGAACGATATCAAAAGTATCCGAGTCACCAAGAATTCTATCGAGGGACAGGTGACTGCGAGGCGCGGTCGGAAAGCAAGACACACGCTCGTCCTGGAAGTCAGGACATTCAAGAAGGACATGCACGACCGTAAGAGGGACAATGCAACTAGGACAATAAGGGGCAGGGCGGCGCTCCATCAAGTGACCATGGGTTAAGCGAGTATGGCCAATACGCAACCTCGCCAGAGCTGTTTCCCACCTCCGGTTACGGTGGAAGGAGGACGGCCACGAGGAAACACAACATTTAAGAGTACGTAGCTTGTTACCAGTAACAGACAACCAAGAAGCCTGCCAACGGGTAAGGACTGAGGAATGGATAACCGGGTAAAAGTCGGAATACGGAATGCCTTTACGAGAGACGGGACAAGAGCGGACAGCTTCCTTGGCGGCAGCATCCGCACGCTCATTTAATGACACACCAATATGGCTGGGAACCCAACAAAACTCAACCGACTTAAATTTACTGTGAACGAGAAACAGCCAATGCTGGATTTCGACAACTACTGGATGAACCGGATTAAAGGACCCGAGAGCCATGAGGGCACTACGAGAGTCAACAACAACTACAAAGGAAGACTGACAACGAGAAAGCAGGAGACGAAGAGCATAGAGAATAGCATAAAGTTCCGCTGTAAAGATGCTAGTCTCCGGAGGCAAGCGACACATATAAGTGCGATCAGGAAAAACAACAGAGTAGCCAACACCGTCCGCTGACTTAGACCCATCGGTGAAGACAGAAACGGAGCGGGAGTGAGAAGAAAAGTGAGGAAAAGTCGTTTTAGAACCGTAGGAGGGGTAAAAGCTTTAGTGATACGGGTCAAGGATGTATAAAACCGCGGAAGAGGGACCCTCCACGGGGGCAAAGAAGGAACAACACGAGGAGAAACATCAGAAATACTGACGGAAAGAGAATCCTGTAAGCGAGATAACCGGACAGAAAGAGGGAGGTGGTGAAGAGGAACAGGAATCGCAGGAGGGGTAAAAGTTAAAGCACGACAGAGGCGAGAGGAAGGATGTTGCAAGGACCGCGCAAGATAGCGAAGACAGTAGCGATCACGGCGGTCCTGGAGAGACAGGAAGCCAGTGTCAACATACAAGCTAAGGATGGGAGTCGAACTAAAGGCACCAGAACTGAGGCGCAACCCAGTATGGTGCAAAGCATCAAGACGGCGAAGAGTAGAAGGAGAAGCAGACGAGTAAGCAGATCAACCATAATCGAGCTTGGACAGGACGAGAGAGGAATGTAAAGCAAGGAGAGTGCGCCTATCTGCCCCCCAAGAAGTATGGGACAAGACCCGAAGGAGGGTAAGGGCCTTAGAGCACGCAACACGGAGGTAAGAGATTTGGGGAGAACAAGACAAACGAGTGTCAAGGAATAACCCCAAAAGCTTCGCGGAATCTTTGTATTCAAGGGGATGACCATAAAGTGACAAAGAGAGACGAAGAACAACCCGTTTCCGCGTAAAAGTCATGGCACAAGTCTTAGAAGTAGAGAACTTGAAGCCATGATCTGTGGCCCAAGACGACACGACATCAATTGCAAGTTGAAGCCGGCGTTGAAGGAGAGGCGAATCAACACCCTGACAACAAAGGGTAAGATCATCGACATAGAGAGCGGAGAAGACACCAGAAGGAAGAGAGGAAAGAAGACCATTGAGGGCAACCAGAAAAAGAGTAGTGCTCAGAACACTACCCTGGGGCACACCTTCGAATTGCTGAAAAGAGGGAGAGAGAGCGGTACCAAGGCGCACCCGAAAGGAACGACGAGAGAGAAAGCTGCGGAGAAAGAGAGGGAGATGACCACGAAGGCCAAAAGAATGAAGTTGAGATAGGATATGATAACGCCAAGTGGTGTCGTAAGCCTTTTCCAGGTCAAAAAGGACGGCAACAACGGAGGTCTTCGCAGCAAAAGCAGTACGAATATAGACCTCCAAGTTCACCAGGACTTCTGTCGTGCTGCGGCACTTGCGGAAACCAAATTGAGAAGGGGAGAGGAGGTGATGGTGTTCCAGGAACCACATCAGACGAACGTTAACCATACGTTCAAAGAGTTTGCAGACACAACTTGTGAGAGCAATAGGGCGAAAGTCCTTAGGGGAAGTACCCAGAGACCCCGGTTTCCGAACAGGGAGGACAACGGCATCGAGCCAGTCCTCAGGGACTGACGACGACTCCCAGATCCGATTATACAGACTCAGTAAATACTGAGACGTGCTCGGAGGGAGATGGCGAAGCATCTCATAATGAATACCATCGGAGCCCGCCGCCGTAGAACCGCAGAGGGCCAGGGCAGAACGAAGTTCAGAGAGAGAGAAGGGATCATTATAGGGAAGCTGAAGATGAGTGCAGAAATCTAAAGGACGAGACTCAAGGACAGGTTTACGAAGAAGGAAAGATTGGGGAAGATGAAGACCAGAGCTAACAGAAGAAAAGTGGGAACCCAGTTTGGGAGCGACCTGCAACGGGTCCGCCACAAGAGTATCATGGAGGAGAAGGACCGGTGAAACATCGGGAACGAACTTACCCGCTATCTTGCGGATACGCTTCCAGATCTGGGCCAGAGGGGTTTCGGACGTAATTGTTTAGTCATAAGATGCCCAACATTCACGTTTAGCCGTACGGATGGCCCTACGGGCCACTGCACTCGCCTTCCGAAAGAAAAGAAAAGAATCGGTCGTCTGCCTACGGCGGTGCCTCTTCCAGGCTGCACGCTTACAGCGGACAGCCCGAGCACAGTCCGCATTCCACCAGGGAACGCACTTCCGCGGACCCCGAGAGGAAGAGCGAGGAATAGAGCGGAGGGCAGCGTTGAAGACAGTGTCATGAAAAAGGAGGAGAGCGCGAGAGAGAGGCAGAAGGGAGAGGTCAGAGAGAGCAGCACTGAGAGTAAAGAGGGTCCAGTCTGCCTTAGCAAACTGCCACCTAGGGAAAGAGAGGGAAGGGCGAAAAGAGAAAAAGGAAACAAGGATGGGGGAAATGATCACTTCCATGGAGGTCAGCAAGATCCTGCCACGTGAAATCTAAGTAAAGAGAAGAAGAGCAGAGAGAAAAATCAAGACAAGAAAGGGTGCGAGTCCGAGAGTCCAAATGAGTGGGCTCACCAGAATTCAGAAGAGACAGGGATGAAGAGAGGAGAAACGGCTCAAGGAGGCGACCCGGGGTATTCGTCAGAACGTCACCCCAAAGGGAATGACCACAATTGAAGTCACCCAGCAGGAGCACAGGCTCCGGCAAGGATTCTAGGAGGTGTTTCAAATCAGGAAGAGAGAGCGGGACACTCGGGGGGAGATAAATGGAACAAACTTTGTACCATTTCCCCACAAAGATACGAGCAGTAGAACAATGGAGAGGCGAAGGAAAAAGTAAAGGAACAAAGGGAACATCAGCACGAATCAAGAGAGCAGAAGAATTAGAAGCCCCAGCAACGGCTGGGGGGGGGGGGGAGAGAAAGGAATAGCCACGAAAACGACCAGGACGAGCACCAAGCATTGGCTCCTGTAGACAGACACAAAGGGGCGAAAACCGCGAAATCAGAAGTTGGAGTTCGAGGAAATTGGCGTAATAACCTCGAACGTTCCATTGAAGAATGGACAACGACGA